ACTTGCAATAGGTGCATTAATGAAAACTAATTCCGCACACAAGCCGCAACAGAATGAATTATTTGTGTGAAAACAATCGCTTATCTCAGCCTGCATCTTCGTTTTTGAGTTGAAGTTGAAGATGCTAGTCTCGATCTTATCAAGGCTGTCTAGGTGCGACGGCCCAGTTCTGTTCATGTGGCCAATACAACGGCGAATGATGCTAAATGCTGCTGCCACTTTAGCGGCGAAGTACGCCCATGTAGCCAGCATCACGTCCGGACGATCCTCATCACTTGAGCTGTTGGCCTGGGCATCCTGGGTCCCTGTGACGGCAGCTACTCCATCCTCGCCAGCGAGGCTTGCAACGGCTTGGACATTGCAGTACACTTCCACGAAGTCAGCCGCAGACACTTCGTGTGGAACTGCTGCCAGAAAGCGGGCCGACAACTCACGAAACACGTCTTCTATGCGCTCGTCAGTGTCTTCTTCACCGGTTTCCACAAGTTACGCCGTCTCGAAGCCTGCCTTGCGGAAGCAGTTGACCACTGTTTCCGTCTTCACATCTCGACAAGCATTGAAGATCTCGGCGAAAAAGACCTTGGTAGAGATTTCCGGCCGCTCCTTCGTCATCCACAGCTGGATGTCCTGGCTGCTGACGCTTTGCTTTCGCCAGAATAGGTTTTGCACACAATGTAGTAAATTTGCTTGAATCGGCGAAGCCACCCGGTGCTGTCGGCGAAGTTGTTTCACTGAGTGCAGCGGCGAACCATTCGGCTTTGGTGATGAGCATCGGGCCTTCCACTGGAATGTTCTTCGCAAACACTTCTGACAACCAGGCATAGACTGCCTTTTCTACATTCCGGTGGGCAGAAGTTCGCCCATAACACCTTGATATCTGCTTCGTTCTTAACAAAGTACTCGGAGTGGTCTGTGGTATCCCGAAGTCGTCTGCAGTGGTCGAACATTTCTCGCCCGCCTCAACACCCTGAAAACCCTTCCAAACTTGTCGCACCATCAAGGATGTTGCACTTCTTAACACTGGCCATAGCTACACGAGAAGTCGACAATTCAAAAAGTCCCCAGTGGCTTTGTACATCAGGCATGCAAAAGAGAAATGCTGCACATGCGACGGTAAGTAGGCGACGCGATACAGAAGCAAGGCGCTCGCAAGGTGATGGCCACCTTCGAGGGCAATAGCAAAAGGTGTGAGTAGAGTGTATATAACAGGGGAGTGCCCGGACCGAGCTCCGAAATGTGAAGCCCAAACAGGGTCAATTCGCTTGTGGCACTGTGATCGGTAGTCTGCAATTTGTCGTTTTAAAAGCTGCATGCGGCTCCGTCGAAGCGGTTGAGGAGTAGAATGCTCGCTTCCCACTCAAAACACCCAGGTTTGAATTGCAGCTGTGGACGGTGGATTTTTTTAATTGTTAATTTCACTTGCACATGTGAATTGACTGGCTTTATTTTTTATATCTAACTTCAGTTGCAACATGTCGTTGCGAGCGTACTGGGACTTGACCGGCGGCTCCCCAGTACGCTCGCTGTCAAATTCCTTCTTTACTTCATATTTCGCTTGACTTTTCATAACAACATGTAGCAACTGAAGCTAGATTTAGAAAAAAAGCAAACCAATAACCTATACGAATGAAACTAAAAAATAAAAAAAAAACTTACAATCCACACCTGCGATTCAAACATGGGTCTTTGGAGCGGGAGGTGAGCATTCTACACCTCAACCACTTCGAAAAAGCCCCGCACAACTCTTAAAACGACAACACACTGCAGACTACCGATCGCAGCACCACAAACATGCTGACCCTGTTTGGGCTTCACTTTTGATGCATTGGTGCTGCGGCCGTTCCGAGCACTCCCCTGTTCAAGTACACTCTAGCATGAGCAAAACCTCGTACAACCGCAACAAAAAATTAAAGAAAAGGCGAAAAAAGGGGCGACGTCTGCTCCCTGGTTCCTGCTCTCCGAGCCAACGAATACGTGGAGAAAACATGAGAGAGAAAAAGAGAAACGGAAAAAAAAAGCACCATTTCACAAGTTGGAGATAGTGCTGTCTGAGCCCTCTCGCCCTTACCTTCTTTCAAGCAGTTCAGGTTTTGGCGGACGTGAGGTACGTAGCGGAGGTCGCATGGCATGCGAGTGCCAAAACCCACCTTCCAACTCGTGCGCGGAGCCGCGCTGTCGCAAAAATCGCAGGGCGCGGCGAGTTCCGAAATGCACCTTCCAGCTCGCGCGGCGTTCGATATATGCAAAGGCGGGTAAAATACCGTTCGATATAAATGTGCGATTTTCTATACTTCTACAAAGAAATTTCAAGGGGATAACTTACGAGTTCCATTTACCCGAAAATTCGATATATGCGGGTTCGATATAACCGTATTCGGCTGTACTTAGCATGTGTGCGAACATAACTGCTTGTCTTCCTGCGTTTTTGAATGTTTTTGTCTCTTTCAGTCAGTTAGTTCTCATAATAATGCAAATATTTCTACCTTACATTCAACAATAAACACATAATCTGAAAAAATGCATGAAATTACCTTATTCTCAATTCAAGGCTGACCCAGGCATACTTTAGTTTTTTTTTTTTTTACTTTTTGCATCTTTGTATAAGAAGAGGAGTTGACAATTGCTTCACAGTGGCGTCGCTGAGATTTCGCAGGGAGAATATCCGAGTGAGTGCATATTAAGACACTCACACACAAAAGGTGCTTCATTCTGCACTCAACAAGCATATGTTAACATTCATATCAGCATAGCCGCTGGCTGCAAACGTTTTATTCAGGAGTCGTGACGCCCCTTTGCTGTTTTCTCTTATATTTCGTTTTTTTTTATACGTAATTCTCGACTTATCTATAGTTTTCTTCAAATGCCGGCCTTTAAGCCTGTGACAACTTTGTCATTAGTTCTGGTTATTTCCGAACGCTGTAGCGTCGTGTCGTGCATTATCCCGCTATGCCATGTGGTACTCATCTTCATTTTCATAAAAAAGCTCACGCACCCCTTCCATTGAGAAAGTTCGAATGTTTGTGGTCATTTGCAGAACTGCACACAGACTCGAACGTTTGCCTCAGATCCGTAAGTTATTGCTTTCTGTGAATTCTACTAATAGCTATTCTCTAGCATTTTTAGTACTGATGCTGTAATCTCCTACTGCCTGGTGTCCAGCCTGCTTCTTTCCTACCTTAACATTGAAGCCTCCTATCGGTATAGTATACTGTGTTTTTACCTTATTCATTGCCGATTCCACGACATCATAGAAGCTCTCAACACGACATCATGGCTAGATGTAGGCGCGTAAGCCTGTACGACCTTCATCTTGTATCTTTAATTGAGCTTAATTACGACACCTGCCACCCTTTCATTAATGCTATAGTATTCCTCTATGTTGCCAGCTATGTTTCTGTGGATAAGGAATCCCACTCCCTAAATATAGCTTGCCACTAAATATAGCTTGAGTTTATACCTGCAAGTTCAACTTTTTTTTTTTTTGCAGAGTTGAGGCCTATTATTGTCAGCGTCATTGCTCAAGATACAAGCCACTCCACACATACACACTGGCGTGGAGTGGCTTATATACACCTCCCACTTTCCTTTTTTTCTCATTTCTAGTTTTTTTTTCTAATTCCTGGCTTATCTCTAGTTTTCTTCTAATGCCTGCCTCTAAGCACGTGGCACCTTTGTCATTAGTTCAGGCTATTACACACACACACACACACACGCACACACACACACAGATGCACGCACGCACGCACGCGCGCGCGCGCACACACACACACACACACACACACACACACAACACACACACACACACACACACACACACACACACACACACACACACACACACTGTCCAGCCTGTTAAGAACTATCAAGAAATTTGAATTCCACTTCTATTGAGGTATACTTTCGCAGCCTTTTCAAAAATCTTATGAGGAGCGTGTCCCCACGTTTGCAGAAACCACTTTTATCCAGAGTTTGAAGCTGAAATACTTTTCACTACACTATCATGACAACATTAAAAAGATACCAAGTTGTTTTTTTCATACACTCACAGTGTATGAAAACTATGAACCTCTATTGTCAAGTGTCCAAAAAAATAGTTGTCAAGCATTCCGGCTGAGGAAATGTGCAGGTGCAGGAGAAACCGTACAGAAATCGAAATGCGTTAATATAAGAAACTAACTGCATGAAATGAATAGAACCCCTTTGTCACACAATCGGCGCCATATAATTCTGCTACATGCAATGTGATTTTTTTTTGTAAACCTCAAAGCAAGAGGCTGGTTCTGGGGAAAAAAAAAAATCGGGTGCTCAGCACGCACACTGAAATTCAATTGGTTTCTAAACTAGATAGCGCCTACGTATTCTACTAAATACGCTATATGTCATCAGCTCATTCGAGGCTGCTGCCCCGAATGAGCTATCACCACCTGTTTCCCGTCGCTGCCCCGTCGCGCTGCATCAGCCGTAACTGCAACTACGGCTGACACGCGCTTTCCCACAGAAAGCCGCTCAACGCAACATTTCATCCAGCGCCTGTGATACAGGCTAATAAGAAAATGAATACATGGTATCCTGGTTGTAAGAGACATCTAATATAAAAGGCAAGTGCTGCCTGGAGCATGTCTCTTATAAAAGAGTTCAACTGTATACAGATTCACTCATACCACTTTCAATTAAATGCTAGGAGAATGGAAGGGTTGTGACAAAGGCATATGCTGGCAGTCTGTATGCATTTTTTTTTTTTTTCGGTAAAGCTGAGCTTCACTGCCCATATTTTTTGTTTTTCGTTTACATGACATCTGGACAATACAATGGTTTTGCATGGTCCATTTAAATCATAAATTCGGGGTTTCACTGTATTTGGATGCATTTAGCGTTTTAGCGCACCTTTTTTGAGAACACATCTCATAAGCCAAACTCCTGATAAGACACAAATGTCCATGGTCATTTCGAGTTCACCTTAACAGGAGACTATTACCCAAACAACATGAAACAACACTCACTTTGTCGTCATCCAATGGAGGCTCACCATGGTGCCTTCCTGAAGTTTCTCAGAGCTGTGATCCTCCTTAGCGGCATTAGCATCCTGTGGCTCTGTAAGGAAGATGAGTGGCTTGAATATGTTGCTTTGCCCTGTTGACAGTGAATCGTACTGAAATCTTCTTCTTAGTCTCCTTTTTTAGACAGCATTGTTAGACAGCATAGATGATGTACTACAGTCAAACCTCAATATATCGAATTATTGCCTATACCGAACGGTTCCTATATCACGCGGGAAATCGCATGCATTATTGATTTTTTCATTTCGAACCAAGTTTGACAGATAATGGATATATCGAACTCAGCCACCCCAAACCAAAAGTTGTATTTAATGACATCATCTTAATAACAGTCACAATAAAATGCATAAAGTATTTTGAATAGCATTAATATTGACGAAAGAACACTTGCTTTCGAAAGCGATTTTTCAAAACTGAAAACACAGTTGGAAATATGGTTTCGGTTTTGCTATAGGAGCATAGGGTATAGAAAACTTGCTGTAACTTGCAAACTAATGACGCTAGGATAATTTTTGTTGCAACATATATGCGAATGTTTGGGCGTGCAAGAAAAACAAAACCCTAAAAATGTATTCTGCGAAAAAAAAAAAAAAATGACTTTTGAAGGTGGCCTACCACCTTAAGGACTGTCTTTGTGCTCTTGACAAAAGTGAGATAAAAGTCAACGAGTACCGAGTCTATCCATTTCATTCACTATTGTTGGTGCCTCTCTACATCAAGGTTTGTTATTTATATTACAAAATTATTCTGCATGTTTCATTTGGCTTTACAGTGCTTATAATTATTCATGAACAGTGTCCAACTGCAACATTCACACCAACTAGTCGCCAACAAATTTTTCGGACTCCTCAAATACATACTGGATGGATACTTCGAACTTTATGAATGCACTATCAACATCTCCACAGAACTAATACATTCTTTATGAGACAGATATATACTAGAAGCTCAATTTTGATGGCACAAAATTGCTTATTTCAAGCTATGCCACTCAATATCAAAAGCTGCCATGATAGAATTTCTGTTGACGTGGTAAAGTTTGGCTTTCGCAGGCCAGTTTGCAGCCTCCAAGACTGCGAATGTGCACAACCTTCCCATTTTCGAGGCCACACCCGCTTTTTAGCTGACAGAACACTACAAGGGATTAAACTTTTTTTTTTTTTTTACAGTCAGTCATATCACAATTACTACGGTTTGTTACTGTGGTTGTCATTCTGCATGCAGTCGTGTTGGTGGTAATTTGTTACTGTGGTTGATATTCTGCAAGCAGTCAAGTTGGTGGTATGTTAATGACGCATTCAGTTGGGTGTTTCAGAGCGCTCAAAAAGTGGCTGTGCCTTAAGTTGGTCGAATTGGAGCGCTCGGACTACCTTCAGTTGGTTCTTTCGGAGTGTCAACCTCTGACTCAAAGCGCTCCCGACTGCTCTAACTTCGAAGTAAGAGCGTGGCACGATCGGACACAGAAAACGGATCACGTGACACAAGCCAGCCAATCACATGGCTGCTCTGACTCCGAGCGACCCTGAGCCAGAGGGCCAGAGCGGCCAACCGAATACAGTCGAACACATATATATCGAACTCGAAAGAGATCACGAATTAGTTTGATATATAAAAATTTGATACAAAAAATACAGGCCCAGAGAGCTTACGTGTAGCGGACCATCACCTACAATAGGTGCAATCAAGAATGACAACTAATTTTGCAAACACGCGGACACAGAATGATTTGTTTGCGTTAAAAAAAAACGCTCAACTTGGTCGGCTTTTCGGTTTTAAAATGAAGTTGTTGACGCTAGTCTCGATCTTATTAAGGCTGTCCAGATGTGGCCCCCCGTGTGGTCAGTACAATTATGAATGACGCCGAACGCTGCCACCACTTCAGATAAAGTGTACGCGCGTGTAGACAGTGCCTCGTCCGGACGACCCTCCTCATCACATGAGCTGTCGGCCTGGGCATGCTGGGTCCCTGCAACCGCAGCTACTATGTCCTCCTCAGCAAGGCTCGCAATGGCCTGTACATTGTAGCCCGCTTCCACGAAATCGTCCGCAGACACTTCGTGTGGAACTGCTACCACAACTTCTGAAACGCCTCATCTACGCAGGTGTTGTCGTCGTCTCGGTTTCCGCAAGTTCTGCCTTCTTGAAGCCTGCCTTGGTGAAGCGGTAGACCACTGTGTCCATCTTGATGTCTCGCCACGCATTGCAGATCTCCGTGGTAGAAAACTTCGTGGAAATTTGCGGCCACTCCGTCATCATTCGCTCCTAGATGTCCTGGCTGCTGACAGCTTTGCTTTCACCAGGCATGATTTTGCCAACGATGTTACAGCGCTGCTTAAATCGGTGAAGCAACTATGTGTCGACGGCGAAGGTGTTTCACCGAGTGCGGTGGCAAACCATTTGGCCTTGGCCATCAGCATCGAGCCATCCACCGGAATGTTCTTCGCGCGAACTTCTAACAACCAGGCATAGACAGCTTTTTTTACATTCCGGTGGGCAAAAGGGTGCCCATGACAGGCTCCCGACATTGGCGGCTCCGCCACTTTTGCCTTGATATCTGCTTTGTTCTTAAACAAGGTACTCCGAGTACTCCGGCGTATCCCAAGTCGTCCGCAGTGGCCGACCATTTATCCCCCATCTCTACACGCCTTCAACTTCGTCGCCAAGTCACGGGTCTGGCGCTTCTTGACGCTGGCCATAGCTACACGAAAGTCGACAATTCAAGGAGTCCGCAGCAACTTCGCACACCACACACGCAAAAGAGAAATAAATGCTGCACATAACGGAAACAAAAAGGCACTCATGAGGCAATGGCCACCTGCGAGGGCAACAGCAAAAGGGGCGAGCTGTGGCTGGCTGATCAAACTTGCAAAACAGTAACAAAAAATGAAAGAAAAGGGGAAAGAAGGAGGACGTCGGCTCTTTCATTCCTGTTCTCTGAGCCGACGGGTACGCGGAGAAAGCATGTGAGAGACAAAGAGAAATGAAAAAAAAAAAAGCTGTTCCGTGAGTTAGACATTGTCCAGTCCGAGCCCTCTCACCCTTACCTTTTCAGGGGCGTTTCGGGTTTTGGCGGAGGCATGGTGCCGCGCGGAGGTCGCCGGGCGTTGCGAGTGCCAAAGTGCATTTTCCAACTCGCGCGCGGAAATCGTGGGACGCGGCGAGTGCCGAAGCGCACTTCCCAGCTCGCGCTGCGTTCGATATATTCGAAGGGGATTAAAAAAACCGTTCGATATAAACGTGCAAATTTCTATAATTTTACAAAGGAATTTCAAGGGGATAACTTACGAGTTCGATATACCCAAAAATTCAATATATGTTTGTTCGATATATTCACAATCAACTGTACGCCATAAAAGCGTTTTCAGGATGTGCACATCACATGTTCTCTACTGTTGTGGTTGCTCAGAGATTGAGGTGGTCGGCTGCTGATCTGAAACAACATGCGGGTTCTATTGCAGTCACGACAGTTGAATGAGAAATGCTCTTGAAGGCTTGCATACTGCATAATGTCACCGCAGTCTCAAGAACCTGAAGCCCTCCACTACCGGATCATTAAAACCCACCAACCAATCCAGACATTGTGTGAAACTTTTTGTGATCTGCTTCAAATTTAGTGTGCATGATATCGCAGGGCCATTCTTCGCGACACCCGCAACAAATGACGGCAACGATTGCCACTGCCAACGCACAGACATTACTGCAGCCCAAATTAAGCAAATATGCTTGTCTGCAGGCACAGCAAGAAGCAGGGCAATATTGGAAATCTTTGTATTAGACTGCACCAATACAAATAAATTTTACTATTATGGCTCATTTTTTTTTGGCCTGGTCCAGGCCATCTGTCGATGATTGTAGTACAATTCGGAATAAAGGTGCCCAATGCTTTGGGGCCCCTAAAGAAATAGCATCAAAGCCACAAAACATGCACGAGCCACATACTGCTTGAGCTGTGCGTGGGGCATTGTTTATCAATTATAGGGGGAGCACCACAACTTCCTCTAAAAGCTCTGCACCAACAAACATGGCAGCACACATTAAAGCGGCGGCTATCATTAAGGGGGGAAGAGGGTTTTAAATTTTTTTTTTATATTTCTTGACCAAATTCAATGAAAATTGTAACCCAGACAGAGTTTTTCAAGCTGATTTCAAAAATATAATTGCTTTTGAAATTGGTTGGCCAGTTGCAGAGATAATTAAAATTAATCCTATATTGTTTATCAGAACAATGGAAAGGCAATTATTGGCCAGAATATTAATATTGACATATGGCTAGATACTATGAAGTGTAATTAACACAAATGTAGGATTACTTTTTTAATATTACAAGTATTACCAATTTTATAGCAATTTGAAGTTAATCTCCAGATATCTCTATCAAGCGATTAAATTAGTACCAAGAATAAAAATTTAGAAAGACTAGATTGAAAAATCTGTTCCTACATTTGTGTAGGAGACATATGTAGCTACATGCCACCACAAGAATTGTGGCTCTATGTGACCTCAAGACCAAGATATCGCTTTGGCAAGTTTCAAAAACATCGAAAATGACATTCTGAGAAAACGTCAAAAAACAAAATAGGCTCATATTTAATACAGAAAATCACAAACTATTTACAATGTTCACAAATGGCCTAGCATCAGTACCCTCCAGGAACATAGTCTGTCTGTTTAGAGTCATTTCGGTGTTGTTTTCGTAGCACACGCTGCAAGTTTTCTGCAGAAGCATGCTTGCGTGCGCATGCTTCAGCACGGTGGCGATCTTTTTCACTCATGCGCTTGGTCAACTGTTGGCCAGGGTTTAGCTGAAGTTCTTGAAGTATGGCTGTAGAAGCTTTTTCATACCCAGAATTGAACTTCATTACAGCCTCTGCCACAGCAGCTTGCACAGCAAACAATGATGCATGTTTCTCCTTCGGCGCCAGTGCCCAAATAATTGAGTGGAGACACTCGTTGTTATTTTGGGTCTTCCCTCTTAGGCATCGCCGAAGAAGCGATTCATCAGACAAACGTCTGTAAACTGGAAGAAGCGCCTCA